ATGCGCCAATACGTTCTGCAGCGAAATAATTAATAAAATTGTGCCTTAGGGGGTTAAATATATCGTGGAGGCCAATACGAATTTCACGGTGGGTAAATACACCGAATACAATCGATTTTTCATGTTGCACGCATTACCATTCATAAAACATAATTTCTCTCCGAGACAATTAATGGAGATAGAAGCTTTATAGGCTAGCAGGCATAATCGCTCGAGTATCTTTTCCTTCGTCTCAATAATTTAGGTAACATTTTCGAAGACAATACGGTGAAACTGAGTAGTGCAACAACTGCAGAAGTTCGATTCTTCGAAATCGTAGATTTTCTAAGTCTTTAAACTGTAATACTGTGGTTCATTAGCGAGCAACTTCGCAACAGCGATCAGGAGTTACGAATCTATGCCGGTGTGTATGTGTGTATGTATGTATGTATGTATGTATGTGTGCAAAAGTTCAAAACAATTAACATGTTGCAACGGTTCCTGTAGAGAAAGTGTGTTTTATTGTTTCTTTTCAGACACCCACGAGCCACGGTATCCGCGAGGGCTTACACTACGGAGAAAAGACGACACAATATGGTGGAGGCACGATTGGAAACGAACAGTGCAATATCTTTGTACGTATCGACCGCGTTTTATCACAAAATCAAATGGTCATTCGAACGGACATAGGAACTCTAAACGATCATCACTGGCGAAGACGGGGGATAGTCATCGTCATCTTCGTGTTTTCGGTCGGTACGAGGACAATAATGGACACGCTTTTCAACTAATCGTAAATCGGTACCATGGATATTTCTATGCATCTCGCTATTATAATTCCTCTAACGAGACAAGTATATCGATTAAAATTCGCTAAACTAAAAGAACCAAATGACCTTGCGTTCTCGATCAAACCATACAGGCGTTCGCGGAACGACTTTGGAGAAAGAGGCTTCGACGTAGAAACTTTCGGAGTAATTTGGTACTGGCGAAAATTCGAGGGGAAGAAACAATAAAATGGACCATATGTATCATACATTTCTGCGCTTCACAGTGGCGCATTAATGTTCCGAAGGGTTCTGCTGAACAGTCATCCGAACGAAACTATAAATCGACATTCCTTCGACCGTTTCGGGGGAGGGGGGATTCATTCTACAATATTTCGGATCAGCTCCATTGATAAATACTCAACAACGGTTTAAAAGGTCATCTGTAATGTACTTCTCGGCAGTTCAAAATCGTTATTATGCATAGTACAATCACAATTTTCTAGTTCCAGAGCAAAACCTTTTTGGGTGACTTGAGATTTACAATGTTATCACTCGAAATGGAGGACTTTTAACACGACCTGTTACCTTCAATGGAATCGATCTCTAACCGAACCTATGAACACATGAGAGCGTGGATCAATTTTTCGTATATCGTTATCGAAGTCGATTGCTCATTTGAGAATATAAGATTTCAAGCGTAACGCTTTCAACAATTCTCTGGGTTGACGATTTATCGTGGAACTACCCATCTCTCGTTATGGAAAAACGTAAATTCCTGCCTCTCCTTTGTTCTGAAGTCTTCGAAAGCTCGAGAACATTTCACATTGAAATTCAATTATGTTCCGATTTGAATTTCCTGAAACTATCGAAATTGCTTCAGTGGCTTTCGGTTGAAGAGGAAATCAAACAAAGTCTACAGAACTCGACGAGCCTGAACACACGTCGATTCTCTCTCTGTGTCTGTGTGTGTGTGTGTGTGTGTGTGTGTGTGTGTCGTTAACCGTCTACGTGTGGTCAATGAACAATCACACTGGTCCTCGGTGAACATTGTGAACTGTCTTGCGCAAAAGAAAAAAGAACTTTCTCTGTATAAGAAATTCGTGCAAAAAAAAATAAATAAAAAAACAATCTGATTTTCGGAGAGTAAAACCTGGAAACTCGAGAAGAGACAACACCTCGTGCCCTAGAGAGATGAACCGTGTAATATATCAAAAATTGTAGAGCCCCAATTGCTTCGACCCTCGCAACGCCGTGAATAACAGAAAAAACAATCTTTCTTTCTCATTTTTTAACAGAAATACAATTTTGTTACAGGCAATTTAAAAAAAACAAGAGCATGTTTCAGTACAGCTTTTCTTTTCTTTTTTGGATCGTTACAATTTTACAAAAAGCACGGAAACCGATCGAGCCGGAACTCTTTTACGTACACTTAAATCGGGGAAAAAACAACGCTCCAAGAATCCGCTTTCACCTATGAACAGTGAATTTGAAAAAAAAAAAAAAAACATCCGCGACGCGTCGACTCAGTGCGTGACTAGTAACATGTGAAAATTGAAATAAACCAAGAATGGATCTGCAACAAGTCCCGACACCTATACAATAATTCGCTGCGTGATGCCGTTTAACGTCGACCTTCTTCAATCCCTTTTCGTGGTAGTTAACAAGATGGTTCGCTAAAAAGTAAAAAAGAAACTGTCGACCAACACGTAGGGTGATACTGTGCGCTACAGTGAATGAGCCAGCCATTCGCGTGTGTGTTTCAGATTAACTTTTTCTAACCGGATTAAATCTTTAGTTTATGCTCTCTAAAATAATACAATTGGTCTAAAATCAGCCGGTTCTTACGCGAAAGTATAGAGCGATTTGCCCTCGTTCATCGGTAAACTCGAAGACCAATTTTTCTTTTTTTTCTCACCCACAGACAACATCCTACCTTTGACTACATTTCTATATGACTGTATGCCTAACTATTATAACTCCCTACTACGTAACTAATTCTTAGATACTCGATCCTCCAATCGGTCTAATGTCTTCGTTGCATGATTAAAATACACTTCCGTGCCGATCAACAGAATTCCAGTTGTCCATTTCACTTGAAACTGCGCCAACAATTTTTTTCATTCGGTTGATCCGAAGCTTCACACGTTCATGGGAAGAACATTTTTGTCGCTCGATGGTGACTCGATGATTAAAAGCAGAGAATTCGTTGTCAAACGAAGAAACCGATTCCCGTCCAACGATTGTCAGAAAGCTGACAGTCTACATTCGTCGATGCGAAAACAGTCGTATAGTCGACGACTGTGGAACACGCTTTTGTCGCGATCATAAACATTTTGTCCTACCAGCTGGCAAAGAAACGTAGGTCAACAGAATTCTCCCTGAAACGTTTATTTCTGTACATTTGTACAGTTTATCTGTATTATATTTTTTATAGGCACAGAATCAATAGACCTAGAATGAATTCGAGGACAAATCGGTTTTTGACTCTATTCAAGCTTAAAATTTCGAGATCGCTGTAAAGCAGTCGGATTCTTTCTCGAATCGATAATAACAGAAAGTAAAAAAACTTTGGCAAAATAAACAACTAAAGCACGAGTTGAAAAATTCCGCTTTGTTTAATTTGCTTCTGCACCCTCCCTCTCTCTCTCTCTCTCTCTCTCTCTCTCTCTAGCTTCGATTACTTTTTTTTTCCAACGTGCCATCAACGGTATTAATGCTCTTTACGGCACCCGGCACTAATATTTGAAATCAAGTCTCTGTCTTATCAATAAAAACAGCCACATCCTTTGTATTTAAAATATAACATGTAATTGTGCACCGGCCACGCGAACTGAGTATGCTTCCTTTTCTAGAGATGCAACGTATGCTTTTTATTTCATTTCTGAGAGTAACTTTGAACTTAACAGTCGATTCAGTTCTCTTTTTTATGATAATCAATTCAACATTTTGTATAAATTATACATCGACCGCGTACATTTGTTGTGTGATGCTTGGAGCAACGAATGATGAAACGCACACGCGATATATATCCATGCATTACTAATTTAACAAAAGGAACTTGCGCAGATGTTACTATAAAAATATTTGTACATGTAATAACGTTCTCCATGTCCTCATCTTTGAAATATCGACAACTTATAAGTTTCGTTTCATAAATAATCAGAATTTTCATTCGTATTTTGTTGTTTCTTTGCTGCAAAGAAACGACATTGGATGATCCCCCAATAAATTAGTAATTAACGATAATAAACAACATCGCTTGCAATGACCTGAAGTTAAGTCACTTTTTTCTTCATCGGTGCCAATGGGACAAGAAAAGAACGTGTGTCCTGGTCGAGAACCCTACTCCGAGCAATTCATATTCATGTTTCTGCAATATATTTAGTACCGTTGAGAGGTGGGTATATCGTAAAAACTTGAACCAGATGAAACGACCGTACTCCATCGCGACTTTTCGCCGATTCACCATCAGTTTTAGAAACTATAGTACGGTATATTGGTCGCTTACAAAAAAAATGTGACGGCGACGAGGAAGCAGGGAAAAATATTCTCTCGATTCTTGTCGCTGATCGATAAGCAAAATTCTGCAATTGGCTGGATGGCAACGTGGCCGTGCATTCTGCGCATGCCGTTAACTCGGACTAGGAGTAAACGTTAACTTTCCCTTTTGCTCGCAGAAAAAACAAAATATTCGTGGGAGAACGCGTTAAGCGCGAGCGCACGACTTCATCGACAGTGTCATCACAGGTTACACGGTATCTTGCATCTGAATTAGCCGATTCGCTTCTTCCCTCTGGCCCATTCTATTCTCCACTATATGGGTTTAATCAGCATCCTAACCGAGGACCGACTGATGAGCATAGTATAATTCGAGTTTAGTACATATTCCCGATAAGCAAGAGCATAGCCATTATATATCGGTAAATACAACCTTAACGGACTACCTTAAGAACAGCTCCGTGAACTTCTCCGAGACAGTGGAAGGTATATATATATATATACATATATACCTCTCCCACTTTCATTTAACAGCGTATCGTAGTATCATTTCCATTCATTCCTAACGATTCTCAACGTCAAATCCGACATTCGTTTCTATATTATGTACATTGAGATAGAGACAGAGCGTCTGGTGCTCATTCCGTTACACCTTAGTGCACTGTATGTGTGTGTGTGTGTGTGTGTGTGTGTGTGTGTGTGTGTGTGTGTGTGTGTGTGTGCGTGTGTGCGCGCGCGCGCGCGTGCGTTCGTGTGTGTGCGCCTGTGTGTGTGTGTGTGTGTACTCCTGCGTGTATGATCGTTTTGTTATTCGAAACGCGGGACGTTCTTTTTGCTAGAACGAGTATCCTATCCCAAGGGGAGTAACGCACTTATACGTGTTAGCGATCGAGCAAGTGCCTCTGGTGCACTTACCCTTCTCGTTTCGAATCGATCACTTCTGGCCGTTAGACGACGCGTTGTTCTCCGTCTTGATCGTGACCGATTTGCTCTGCTCGGACGACTTTCCGATGGCGGCCGGCTGCCGATCTCTGGTAGCGTTCTGGGACTTGCTCACCTCTTGGGTTTTCGTGAACGAGCCGGAATTCTGTCTGCTTCGCGGTTGCTGTTTACTGAGATCTCGTTGGCTACTCGACGAGCCGGACGAACCGTCGTTTCGTCTCCTGGAATGGCCCAATCGTCCCGAGCCGAACGAACCGGCCCTATTGCGGAACTGTGACAGATTCACCGTGTCCACGCGTAATTTTTGCGCGGTGGGATTGTTCTCGGAACTCGAGGTTGGTAGTGTTACTGTGCTGGATCCGCCCGATAATCGACGAACTCGACTTGTCGGTGACGCGTTCCCGCCACCGGCACTCTCTGATACACTCCTGTTGCGCCGTTTCGCTGCTTGACATCGCGAATTCGCGGCGAATCCTTTGAGCATTTCGTTTATTTGCGGCTGAAATGTTAGAAACGTTCATCAGATTCAAACAATACGCAGAAAGATATGAAATAATCCCTCCAAGCAAAACGTTGTTCACTATACACAGTTCTATGAAAATTAATCGAATAAAGAACTCTTACCTCGACGACTCTGAAATCTTCGATGCTCTTGAACTTGGACAAATATTCCTGTAACTTCGGATCCACTTGCAGCTGACTGGCTTGCTTGTAATACTTTAGGAACGCCCAGAACTTTTCAAGGCCATACAGCTGACCTACAGTGACAAAACAAAATATCAATACCATATATTCTAAAATTCCAATCGTCTAGTAATGCATTTTAAAGGAAAAGACCTCTTACTATGCTGAATACCACACACGAGGCAACAGTACACCTCCTCGTGGTATTAACAGTACATTTCCTTTACTTTAGCACACATCAATCGTTTAGTCGTCGAGAAATGTAACATCTAAACAACCTCCTATGTGCACGCAATACGATCGTATATTGGATTCTTAATTAAATTTACTCACCGCTTTCGTAATCTCGTATTGTTTCGACCTGGAAGTCTTTGTAAAGGTGATGTCTGAACCTCTTTTCCAACCCGTAACTGTAAAATCGGAATGGTACGATTGAAATTCTCCCTCAAAAAGAACGACCAGAAACGGAAGAGTGTGTTCATTTCTTGAGATTGGCCGATTCCGAGTCTCTTGCGTTCTGAAACAGAACGGACATGACTGCAACTTCGCTGCTTTCAATGAAGTTAACATGTTACGGAAACGAAGTAAATTCTCAGATCCTCGTTTCTCTTCACGATTATTCCTCAGTCGGGAAAAGAAGACAAAATTAATAGATTCATCATGAAAGCTTCCTTTGATCCTGAAATCTAACCAGATCCTTGTACACTCATCTTACCTTTTAAGCAACGCGAGTGGTATTTGTGATACACTTGTTGCGTGAAACCGTTCTCTTTCAAAAGAGCGTGACTCGGGTGCTGGAAAGTAGGTAAAGATTGTGGTATGCTTCCATAGCTACTTGCTAGGTAACCTTCGTTAGGACTTGTTCCCGCGCTGCTTCTGAAATATGAAATATTTCATGATGCAGTGAGCATTAACATTATTTCGTTTTCATTGGTTTTATCCACGAATAATGCTGGTATACCCTGTAGAATAGGTGCGCGGTCGGTGCTCTCGGACATCCATGATCCAACCGACATGATGTTCAACAGGTGGATTGATACTGTGCCGTGTTTTCCTCTTTCGTGGTGTTCTTGGATCAACCGAGGGCTCGTCCTTTACCACGGCAAAGAAGCGGGGAACCACTCCTCTTCTACCATTTTTATTATTTTTTTGTTTATCGTTCCAGCGATTTCTGTCCGCCCTGCGATCCCTCCTCTCTTGACTGTCTGTAGTTGTTGGCATCTAATATTGAAAGAGACATATTAATGTCGCATGTTTCATAACTATGTAAACGGAACTGATCCGAAAGTGAAACGAAGTACCTGTGTTGGAAGCGATTGTGATACCTCGATGTCGTCTATCGTAGACGGAGGTGGAGGAGGAACTTCTGGATTGGATTTTTTGGGTGCTTTAGGCGCCATTTTTGCAAAATCTTCTTGACTAATCACATTGACCGTTTTGTAACTTCCAAGCGACGAAGAGGAACTGTACTGTAAAATGGCAAAACGTGTTAAATGTATTAATATTTGAACGTGTTATTCAATCCGGGGAGTATCGGTAAATGAACTTTTGAGTCTTACTCTTTGACCATCTTTCGTCCATATATCTTCCTCGTAGTAATACAACCCGTCGTTGATGGCTTGTTCGAGATCCTGAGTCATTTTCACTCTCGTTGTCCAATCACCCGTCCTATCATGACCCTCGTGTTTTGGAATCCGCGTTGTCGACATAGACACCGTTGTTTGCGTGAAGATTAAAAGTTTATTTAAATCCCTGTCTGACAATTCGTAATCTTCTTCGTCTTCGGACCTACGGAATTGATTCATCACTTTACAGATATTCGCCGAACTTGTTCTTGCTTGACACGAAAATAATCCTAACAGGATGATAAAAAATATGGTAATAACAACAAACCATTCAGAAAACGCATTATGTCGTCCGGTTGGAGGTGGCGTATCGAGTTCCTCGTCAAATTGAAAGTCTAACTCTTCCCTTTCTTCGCTTTTAACATTATCAACTTTCTCTTTCTCTTCGTTTCTCTCCTTATGTGACGGTTTCACCCTTCGCCTTACCTATTATGGTTTCATGAACTCGGTTATTACTTATCGCTAACAGTAATAACTTTCGAAATAGATCCACATTTTGAATGAATGTTTACGCTGAGGTTTCGAAAAAATTATAATGTAGTTAATCATTAACGACATCCTATTTACAGCTTTCGTTAAATTGCATCGCAATTCTTTATATCTCTAGGATAAAAAGATACGGTTCAATTTAAGATCTTGAACAACTTGTAAAAGCGGAAGTTTCTTCTGTGAATTAAAAAAAGAACGCGAAAATTTAAATTGCTAGTTGAAACTAAGATCCCACGAAAAACAAATTACCTCTTTCCATACGTTATCGCTCGACTTTTGCAATTCCCCGTTGACTTTTACCTCTGGGACTCGGCTTGGACTAGAACCCTTGACCGCCGCGGATGCTTTATCGTTTATCTTAGGGGACCCATTGTTTGTGCTCGAGGACATATCGTTACTCAACGACGCTGGAATGCATTTCACTTCGTCCGATCGTTCCTCGTTCTTCGTTGGATCACTACTTGCAGTGTTCGGTGCAACAGGCTCGTTGTTTTTGTTTGTCAATTCGTTCGGTATGAACTCCGGCACGTCAGGATTTAAATTGTCGCCTATCGACGAGGATACGCTTTCCGATTCGCTGATCCTTCCTACTCTCGAGACAACGTGGTTGGATTGAAGAACCCGTGGAACTGGGGGAATAGGAATCGTTGATAAGGGTCTGGCTGCGGGGCAAAAATCGGATTCGGACGTGGGGAATATTACTTCATTTTGGGATGGGTTCGGGTTGTCGGAGGATTCAGAAAAGATAGGATTTCCAGCTGAGTCTAAGATCGGCCACTTCAACGGGTCTGTATTCGTTCTGACCTGATAAATAAAATGACAATATCGTTTAACATTTTTATAAATTCTGTTTTGGTGCTAGAATGAAAAATTTGTATAATTTTACAGTAACTTAGTGTCTCAGCCAATAATTTCAATTTAATTTAGTTGAGCACAAATGAATTGTAAGGAGGCCTACTTTCAAACGCCATTCATCGGACTTAAGCCCTTATGGTGTCAGCGAATCCTCTTCTATATTTACTCTAGCACAAATCTTTTGTCCAATACACATAAAATGTAGATGGAATTACAACGATTCGTGCTACATTATAGTAATTAATACGAATTTAGTGTTACCTTGAATCCATCCACCAGTTCTAGTTTGTCGGACTCCATGATCGCTTCGATAACAAGGGCCACATCTGTCGTCAATGTTTGTACGCGATGAAAGGAAGCAATCAAGGTAATAGGTAAAAATCCTTGCGCGTCCATTTTTCGACGCAGGAAAAAGTCTCTTAAAAGATTCTCCTCGCTGAAGTAGTATTCTCTGCACAGTCACAAATTATACATGGATCAAGCAGGACTGAACTTGCGACTGATACCATTTGTCTTAAAGACGAATCTTTAAACTTACATTTGATTCCTTATGTATTCCTTGAGCGTCGTTGTGTCGTCTGCATTAATGAAATTTGTATTATTGAAATAAAATGTTCCCATGTAAGGCATCATGTAAGCTGGAAGTCCGTATTTATGCATCTGTAAACATATGCTTGTTTGAACGATGTGTTTTATACGCTTATAAATTTTTATATCGGAACGTTACAAAATTCAGGTCTACTTTCACTTCTCGTCAGGGGATATTCAGAGAGATTCCCATCAATGTTTCATCATTATTATTGCGTTTAATACGTTCAACAAACCTGATTCTATAATATTTAGCGTGACAAGTACAATCACCTGCATATAGTCTGCTGTGTAATTTAAGTAATCGTGGTCGTGCCTGTGCCTGAAACTACCCCTATAAACGCCTCTACCACCTCGTCCACCTCTGCCCCTGTAACTCCGTCCACCACGCCCACCTCTCGTACTGTATCCTGTCCTCTCATGCTCCCTATCTCTGTACGACTCTGTTTCTCCTAAAACCCAGACATTTAACCTTAATAATCAACAGGGAACAATACAATTTATACCTTTACACATTAGCAACAATTAAACATGCAACCACGCACCTTCTCCATTTTTTTCCCGTTGGTTGTGGTACTTTGGAGATCGTTCCCTCTTACTTCTATTCTTTGTTATATCTATTTCAAGAGGTACCCATTTCTGTTTACTCACTGCAACATTAAATGAACACACTGTTAAATATTTGTAATCTCTTCGAAACAAGATTAGAAAAGAAAAACAATTGCGAAGAAGGGAAATGTTTCTATCGCTCTTTCCAGACTTGTGGTATTCACGTGAATAAACCGTCGGTGATTACCTTTCTTCTTCTTTTCGCTGCCTTCGGTATGGTCGTCGCTGTCGTCTTGGCAGTGATTCTGCTCTTTGTTTTCTTTTCCTCTGTTCTCTATCGCTCCGCTACTTTCATTGGCGTTATTTGGCTCGACAACGCCGTTCTGCTTCTGTGTTGTCACAGCTGTCTTCTTCTGAACGAAAATATTCTTTAGTTACCGGTGCTTTCGAAAAAAAGGAAAAAAGGAAAAAAGGAAAAAGGAAAAAAGGAAAAAAGGAAAAAAGAAAAAAAAAACAAAAACCACCACGAAGAAGTCGCGTTATTATATATTAAAATTTTAGCGATAAATGAGACGACTGTGCGAATGCGACAAAATATCACGGACAACGAAATAAGTCCGCGACGGTGCCGTATTCGTCTTTAGTCTAGCACAATGACTACGCTCACATGTATTCAAGTATACTCTGTGAGTTCTAGCATTTGCAGTGATCTTTGTTCTTCCGTTTACGTGCTTAGACACGGAAGTGGCAAGAAAAATCCGACAACATGGGACACCCGATAACGATTGATCGGAGAGCAGCCGTGTCCGTTTATCGTATCGATAAAACAAAATCTCAGTTGCTTGAAGGACTAAAACGTAACTGCTACGAAAAACGATAAATAAATTTAACCCACCTCTCCTTGAGCGCCCAAGGTTGGCCAATCACCGATGTCCGAGAAGTCGCTCGCCTGTTAAACATACATACATACAATATGTATATGTACATATATGTACATGTATATTCGATGAATACAACGAAATTTTAATTAAGCTCCAGTAAATGATATAAAATACGGCAAAAGGAGGCTTGATGAAGTTATTTCACGAGAAAGTAAATTTACCACACAATGACACACCCACAGTGTACCCAAAGCTTACCGATAGTACACGAATCGAATACATTACATCGAAGAGCAGAGAACGCTTCAAACTGTGTACACAAACATTTATCTACAGAATCCCGGGGTTTACCTATGCCTGTAGTACTATGTACTAATATACGCCTGACGGCTTACGAATATGTAGTTATATTACGATACTATCGGTTTACAAGCGTAAAATTGAAAACCAAAAAAAAAGTATCCACGCACCTTTTGATTAAATTTTCTTCTGTCCTTTGTGGCTGTGACGATGGTCGGCTGAGTTACGGCGTTAATGCCATTTTCTGCAATACATCGTTAAAAAGAAAAACTTCGTTTACTAAGGAACAGTCGTACGTGTTTCATGATAATTTTTTAACGCCTGTCAATACTCCTTATCGCGGCGAATAAAGATTTTTGTAGCACACGCGCGTGTTCGGTTTTACGAATATCTTTTTGGCCGTGCTATTTTATTAACATCTACTGTTGCGATAAGGGGTGCTATTCGTGGACGAACAACTAAGGACAAAATAGAGAATTGTTTCCGATCGTTCATAGTACATGTAATTCGAGTGGTCCAAATGGAATGATACGGTAGGAAAGGGTTAATGTATGATTATTTAGAAGTTTTTCAAATACTCGAAAATATTCTTGCATTACTCGTTACCGACTGAAAGTCAACATCAATTATCAGTCCATTGACGTACAAGAATACATTAAAAAGAAAAACTTGAATATTTGATCGCGAAATAATGTTTGGTTTCTGCTAAACACCCAAGAATGTTTCGCTGGATATGCGCGACAGTGACGTCCGACGCCGAATACGAGAACACGAAATTAAAACTAATTTTAACCGCACGCACGCAATCATGCAAGAAAGGTAAACTTCAATTCAGTGTAATGACACAGTCCGTCCACTCTCCTCTCCTCCTGCAAGAATGTTCATGCAAACGACTCCGTTTACGTTACATAATGAGTCAAAGATTTTTTCAAATAACACGAAATTATACGCTCTTACGCAATTTATTTCGCCCTCTAAACATAAATTTTCATAATTTCACGGTACGTTGCTTGTAGCAACAGAAACGTTTCACATTTATCCAATCCGTATTGGATCGGACGTTTGTTCTTTGATCGCCGCTTAGGCCTTATTTTTATGTATTCTTTTTTCTTTCTTTTACGGTATATACTCTTGAAAATCGTTTCACCGAGTTCGTCGATCGAACATACACGTTGGCACGATCAGCAATTTCGCGAAATGTTTCCACAAACAATTCGGGAAATCACCGTTAATTTCTTTCTTTTCTATAAATAATCAATGCAGCCCGCGTTAAAAGCGAACAGCTCTACTCTAACCGCAACGCGTTACGCAAGTGATACAGCCGTAGATTTGCTCGTTGACCCCTTTTCATTCGAGTCAATCTTTCGTCCGCTTCAGAAACACAAATCACCGCGAAAGCGAAAGTAACCTGCCACCGTGTACGATCCTTGTGTTACAGGTCTTGATTATCGTCAAACGCGAACAACTCGAACCGTAGGAAAAGTTGCTGACAATTAACTCCGAACAACCACACGGCTGCGTAACGCGATACTATGACAGAAGCAACTACAGGTGTGTGTGTGTGTGTGTGTGTGTGTGTGTGTGCACCACTATATGTTTCCCGCGTTAAAATTAGACCGATTTGCTTTCTTTTTCCGTTTTATAACCTTATATCATTAAGCAAAACGTAAACTTCTTACAAGCAGGAAATGAATCTTTTCTATGACACGCAGTTTTCTATAAAACCTTCTAACGATTCTTTGAGAATCTGAGCCACCGCGAAACAAAACAAAAAAGATAAAAAAAAATAGTCAGCGTTAAGCTGCGCAACAAGTTATTTTACTGTCACCTTTGCCGGGGAAGGCAAAAACATTCTGCTCGAAGCAACACCTATCCCTTCTAGCCATGACCTAAACATTTCAAGCTCCAGTTATATACCCCCGAGAGCATAGAAAAAGAATCGCGAAAAAACATCTCGAACGTATTGTTGTTTTTTTTGTGTATTCTGGTTGACGAAACCCTGGTTCGAGTTTTCACGCATTATTTGTCGCGTGAGCTATCTCGGAGCATTATCGTTGTTGGCAGGTCGAGCTACCCGATTCTGTCTTGCAGCCAAGTCGATTCAGGGGGTGGGGGTCTCTACGCCTGAATAATAGCGACACATTAACCCGAACGTATTCGTTGTCAACAATCGTCAGCCCGTAAACAGTAAACAATATTGTTTTGTTGCTCCCCCGGGAGCATCACTCGTTAAATTTCATTAAAAAAAAATATAATCTAATCGGCTGTTATGTTTTTTAGAAAGTATACTTTTTTTCCGTTCTATGTTTGCCTTTTTATTATCGGGTTGAAATACTTTTCGTGGGAGAAAATAGGAACTCACGTTGTACGGCTCCGAATTTAATTCTGTTGATCTTCATCGTACACGTCCTCCGGATTTCCTCTCACTGGAAATTCACCTCGCGATGATCGGGCGCGTGAAAAGATACGCGCCCGGCTTTTACATAACGTTCGCGTAAAAAGTGCACACACGCGTAAGCCGATACTAACTACTTTACGCGGCGAACGGCAAGTAGAAAGAAAGAGAGAAACATAACGATCCCGTTCGAGAAACGCGCGCGTTCGTTTACCACTCGACGATCAAATTATTTATCGTTGCTTTTTCAAGCAGCAACCTTCGGGGCGGTGCAACAGGTGTGCCCGTATACTATTTCTCTACCGTTCGCTGCGTCCCTATGCGTTTTTATCGTGTCCGATTGAAAAGGGGCTGATACCGTTATACATCGAAGCTACGATCGAATACACTAAACCGAACGAATGGTAACGCGCAGACGGAACGAGTATGTTAAAAAAAAAAAAAAGATTGAAAAGTGCCGCGAAATGCTTTCTCGCGATTTATTTATTACGATTAAAAGTTGCGTAAAGTTCTCGCGTCGTATGCTATACAGTGGTTCAAACTTTCCGTCTACGGTGATGGATAACAGACACGCGTAAAACTGGTGAGTACGTTCTAATGGTCACGTTAATTACCCCGACGGAACTAATGCAGAACTAATTTTATGGTTGGCGCGCCGGTAGAAGGCACGCGGAATCGTCGAACGGAACGACAGCGCGAAGAATATTTCCCAAACTTCGGAACAGAGATCTTTCTCAGATACTGAACAGTATTATTTGCGATTCTACGCAACGAAATACAATGGATCCACACGCGTTGCAAAGTTCTCGAACACTGTTTCTCTATTGCTGACCGCCCAAACATGCGTCGTTTTCTTTTTTTTTAACAAACAAAGCGACGAGGAGCTCTCGCCGGTCGGTTCCACGGCTGCAGCTCGAAAGTCGGCACTGCACTGAGCCGCCTGGCAAAAAGGGAGAATCGAAGAAGGCTTGCAGCAGCGACTATGCACGGTAAATGCCCGCAGCTGCTTCGCCGTCCTTTGAGGTGCAAGCAGCATTAAATGCAACTTCGATCGGATCACCTTCCTATTGGGACTCTCTTTATTGTCGATAGGTTCGGGGAAAATCCGTTACCGGCCGTAACGTTTATGCGAATGATTTTATCGTGGTTAAACGTAATCAGAAAATACCGCACAAAAAAAAATATAACGTACCGAATACAGTGTATGAAACACTGAATAGCATTTACTAAGAAGTATAATTCGGTAAAGTAACAGTACATTGAATGTTTTACCGGTATTTGTCGAAATACTTAAATTTAATTGTTCATCATTTTGTGTCTAATACTCTCATGCCCCAATTCCCGCTTAATCCCGCCAAATAATTACTACGGCTTACATCGATATGCCATGTCAAAGTAACTAATAGAATGAAGTCTCGTTGGTAATTAAAATTAGCGCTGCGCGTTCTTTGAAATGTCATTGCTATGGGGTATGGTATACGATTATGAGCTGTGTATCGATACTCTTGTCGAGCAACACCCAGCATGTTTCTTTGCAATTTAATGCACGTCTGACAGTGCTCGCGAAGGGAATCGAGAACAGATCGTATCGAAATGACGATACACGTGAAATATGCATTTGAAACATAGAGCATCGGCTACGAGAGACGACGAATCACATCATCCCTCTTCATTTCGAAACATTCGTATAGAATATTCCCGTGAGGTCGTAAACACTTAAGCGTTCAACAAACAAAAAATGTTGAATATTTTTATCATAGTCGCTATCGTGATTAACACGATTGATACCGTTAAACAGCACTGCAAACAAAGTCTGAAATTTTCGAGTTGAAAACACACACGAGAAATCTCAGTGTCATCCACGTGGATAGGTAACCAAGCAGAGATGTTGATGGCAACCGATTTGTCGCGGTATGTTATATCGATAACCAACCAGGGGTACAATGTTACACGTACGCGCGCGTCTAATGGATTCCGGCCCATTCAATACATAAATTAGGTAGCCGTAGGATCGAATATCGTAAGTGCCGTGTGTTGGAACCCACGGAGACGTTCAGCCGAGGAAAACTCGTTTAGTAGCGATGTTACAGGCTCGTAAACAGAGAATCGTTCGAAGAGTATTTAAAAAGCGTATGACAAAAAAATCAACGACCAAGTACCCGAATTTGTATAAACAAATCTCGCGGTGAAACATCCTGGGCCGAAGTACGGATTTGTTAAATTAACGAGAGAAAACAACAACGCTGCGAACGACCGAGACACTAGGTTCGTGTAACTTTAAACATGAATATTTTAAGCGCTCATCAGTATTCTACCGTCTATCTTCGTATAGTTTACCGTGTATCGGGTACGAAAGGAGGAAAAAAAGAAAGACGAAATGATCTTGACACTTCGGTTTTTACTGTTTCTACTCTGGTTCGAAATACCCGCTCTCGACGCGCGTATACGGTTGGAAAAGCATTCATTGGCCTTTACGATTCTACTTTTATCGAGGGTAGAAGGCCTACGGCTTGGAACAGGTTGCCTCTCACCACTCTCACTTTCTGCGACACATTTCGACGTGTAACGAACGTTGGGATAATCAGAGGATCCATAACTGGAACTTTTTACAACGGGTGTGCCAGACAACTAGTTTTTCTTTCTTCTGCATTAAATCCAACCGGTATGCAAACAATGAAATAAAAATGGGGCGGTGAATATATTCAAAGCAATTTTCAAAGGGTTCAAGTTGTATCATTGAAGATCTTAGACGGATCGGTAAATCGAAAAAGGATTGCTTTGGAACAGGTATCGATTTCCTAGAGTCACGCAGCTATTGCACACGATCGGTGTGTTGCTGTTCATCGATTAGACGCTGCACCGGAGGAATTCGAGAGTGAATGTCTGGATTACAGCGAAGAACGTAATGCAGTTACGAGGCGCAGGGTAATTGCATCACGTGCCTCGACCCACTGTCGATCGCTTAGAAAGAGTATCAATGTCGTTGCCCTCGACGTTTTTTTCTGTTTTTTTTTTCTTTTTTACGTGTTAAGTGAATAATTGTACCGATCCACGTGACATTAAGCAATTTAATGGTCATAGATGTTGTTAGACGGAAAGTAAAAAGATTGTAACTGAAAATAAGAAGAATTCGATATAAAATGATAAATTGACGATAATAGTAGTAAAAGAAAAGTAATGGTTCTTCGATCGAATACTTTATTCGAACTGAATCAATTCAGTTTCCGATACCTTACCGACCAGTCTTCTATACATATAGCATGCCCAAGAGGAAACTCGAACCCTTCTATTTTTCTTCTCGCGCATTTTTGTTCTCGAACCGAAATTCCAAAAAGGTTTTACGCTTTTTTTTTCATCGTATGCATAACACTAAACATAGTAGATTCGAACATTTATCCTAGGCTTCTACTTAACTTCCCTCTCACCTAATACAAAGCGGCGCTTCGGAACTTGCTCGATGTCTTGTGTTTAGGCCGAGAGAGATACTGGCCTACATAAATAAACGACTGACAAAAAAAGTCTTGATAAACCATATAATTCTTTAAGAATAAAAATTCCTTGAAATTCATGAAAGAAGAAAGTACTAGCCGAAGGAAGTTGGCTGAATATTACTTAAAATAACACTGGATCGCGTTGCTACTTCCTAAACATGGACGCAGAGCAGAATCATGTATGTATACCACGTGGTCGAAACCGAAGAGACACTGCTCGGAGGGATTATTATTAAAGAACGCGCTGGATCCGCGTTGCTATTCCATAAATATGGCGGAACTCGTGTCGGGACGCGTGGCCGAAAATTTCACGAGGTCAGAGTTATCGCGGAGAATTGATAAAGAAAACCGGATCGTGTTACTGTTTTTCTAAACATGGCCGAACACGGTTATCGAACCACGTGTTCGAAAGTTTTACGGAGCAGAGAAAGGGCCGCGCGCGCCTCGAGAAGGAGATCAAACTGTTCGTTATGCAAATAGAGAGGGGAAAAGACTACATATAGGTGACGTGTTTAAGGCTTGATTGCCAGCACGGTTCATTTCTTTGCCACGTGTACCGAAAACTCGTTGCCGATCCACAGATAAGACGATCGAATCGGGACGTACCCGAATTCCCTATTATTATCGTCGTAACGATCAAACACCTGGACAACAGGCGCGTGTAGAATCTGCTCGTGTTCGCACAGCGAGCCGTCCGCAGTTCTTTCTGTCAATAATATGATAGCTGAACAAACTTCTCGAAGTGTTCGTGTCGCGTGAAAAAAGAGGGGGACATTTAACGAATTAATTTTGTTCCTTCGTAATTTCGATCGAGTACAAAAAGTAACAGTAAAGAATGTTTAATATTATACATATATGTATATTATGTACACGATTAATCTACTTTATCAATCTGTTCGCGCTTATGTAAAATTTCAACAGAACTTCCTCTACGTGCGTATATATATTTTTTTAACGCGCCTGAAAACCGTCACGACGGCATTATTAGAGGCGAAGTCTCGAATAAAGTTTATTTCGAAACATGAAACCGTTAACGCGTGGTATTTTATATTACATTGGTTATCAAAAGTTTTTTCTGATACAGTTCAAAATATATCGTATTCCGAGTTTCGTAATATGTATCTCACCTAATACAGACCTCCCACACTGTTCGCAGACGGGTACTAATTCCGCTCTTTTAGAAACTTAGCAACTATACGCAATCTGTAAAAAGAAATGCGTTTTATAAATGCAATTACTCGCTGGAAATGTTCAATACAGCTACAACACTTTCTATCATTGCGCAATGATTATCAGTGGAAATTAATCGTGTACAATAATATTTTTTCTTTTCCGTTACAATTATCGAGTTCTTTTCCCTGTACACGCGATTGTTAAACCAACTTTAACTTAGCCTTCTGCTGTACAGGTGTGAAGTTTACTCTAGAGTATATATATTTTTCAGATGTATTACATAATACTGACAGCGAAATAGATAAAGCAAACTAAGGCGAGTGTCGTGAAAGTTAACTTGAAAATAATAAAGTTTCACAACAACGCCGAATGTGAAATATATTGTAAATAAAAATTCATTATTTTCTGTTACCAGAAAAACCTTCTAAACTGTATGACAACACCTAAGTATTGTTATGTATTAAATTATTGTGTAATATTCGTTGAGTAAGTTTCCGCTGACCCCCCAATATTACATCCATATCAGCAGTACCTTTGAAGACAGTAGGATCCATATTCTTGATATTGATAAGAGGCTCTCTTTCATCATACGTACAAAGTACAAGGCCAGTTTGATAGAAAACCCATGAAATAGAAGTACTTAAAAACTTATGAACCCTTATGCTTATTCCGTACCTATACATTTAACATTCGGACATTTAAACATTATATTTGTTATACATGTTGAATACATGGAAATATGCACCTTATCGGGTATTTTTTTCAGAGTAAAAGCATGTAATAATTCTCTAACAAAACATGACCAATATTGTATTTTTCTATGCATACTGCATATGTAAATTTGACTTGTAACAGACTTAACAGCGAATGCTACAAGGTTACAAAATTTTATGCACCCGTTGTATGAAACTTTAATCTTTTATGGATCATTATAACAGTAATACATATTAGGAAAGATAAAAATGCACTTTTAAACGTAATAAAAACAGTGAATTTTATGCCCAAGAAAAAGAATATAAAAGCACTGTACATAGGAAATCTGCAGAATATTTGTTGAAATTGTTTTTGCAAAAACTTGTATTAAAGATGAAAATCAACACTTACCAATTATTTCTTGCTGTTGCGGTTGTAGTACCCTCTTTTCTTTTTCACTCGGCTTCTCTACAATTGGTAAACTTGGAGGGGGTACAGGGTTTACAGGATTCGAAGGTGCTGTTTGCGCAGTGGGTTTACTTTTGGTCCAAGGATTAATTGTAGGTAAAGGAGCTTCTACATATTTAACTGGTGGTTGAGTTTGAACTTCCAATTCCATTTCTGTTTCTTCCCTATCTTTTAGAACTTCCTTACTTCCAGCAACATGATCAGGTCCGATTCTATCTCCACGATCTCGTTGCTCCTTAAGAGATCTCTCATTACTTCCATTATGTCCACGAAGTGGATGCCTGTGTTCTCTATGTCTATGTCGTTCTCTGTGCTCTCTGTGTTGTTCCCGTAATTTTTCCTTTCTCCTAGCACTCTTTGGTGCTACTGTTTGAAACTCTCCGTCGCTTCCCACGTTGCCATTCGTCTGTTCCCTTTCAGGAACATCTTCCTGTCTATGCTGTACCGGCTCTTCCTTCTGTACAACTGGTTGGTGCTGTTCAGCAGATGACAGTTCGTTTCCATAAGGCTTGTTCTGTGGATTGAATCTCCTTCCACTCCTCTGATAAGACTTGCCCATGGCAATCAGATTTTGAGAAACAATGCGATCCTTGATCGGCATAGATTGTTGAACCACTTGACCACTAATGTTCTCCTTGTTATTATCCTTGGTACTAGAAGGCCGGTTATCGGTTCCACTTTTGGGGTTCAGGATACTTGCGTAAGAGACCCCGGGGCCCTCCTCTCTCTCGGTACTTCCCTGAGCGCCGCTGGATACCTTCGCCGCCATTTTGAACGGTACGCGCCGAAAGACAAAAACACGAGGTCCCGGAACACGAGGGATCTGACTCGAAAAGTTTCTTTACAGGAGGATGCTTCCTCTCAGGCAAAACAAGGAGTCCTGAGACAGATCGAGCACCCCCGGACACATTAATTCTCCGGTGTAGCTTCGTCGCAAGATTGAATGTTTCGAGAGGTTTCGTGCGTCGATTCGGCTTTAAAGCACCAATCTAGGGACATCCCCCGCGTCGTGGTCCGGATACATGTCTCCCTGGAGTCCGTGCAGTGTCACACGTACACGTTCAATTTTTTAGAGAAAGTCTGCGACACACTCGTCGATTTGCAACCGTTGGTCCTTCTAACGGCGCAAGAGAACGCCCACTTAAGGGGCTCGTCACGAGGGATCGCTCTTTCCAGAAGGCGCGGCGTGCACACACGCGGTCGTTACCGATTAATATTCGAAATATGTTCACCTCTTCTCTACGCGTGTCCAAATTCTCTCGAGATTCGATAAATAGGAAGAATAAGCGGATTAGCGATACAAGTGTTGCGTTTAATGATACAGTCAATCACGTTCGAAGAACTTAGAACACACGAGGCGCGACGAGGTTGCGTGGTTAAGAACACGCTGACTCGGCGATTTCACGAGGCGAGCGGAAACTAACCGGCACGAGGAAGTTATTGAACAACGATGATTTGATGTACCTTTATCTGGATGAAATGTTGACTATTAAACGCACGCGACTATGGGACGTGCAATGTGCGGCGAAGGGAGCAGACAACCAGAGTATGTACACCTCTTTGGTGCGAGTAATTTATCTTCGTCGTGGATCTCCTTTACAATTCCTGATTCTTCCTCCCGCTTTACTTTTTCTACGGACCGAGAAATTTTATCACAACCGCAACGAGATCAGGAGCTACGTTTCCAATGTCACGTTACCACGGATTACGTAAACACGACATTTTCGGCGATCTTTTTCCACGGAAAAACGGTCCGCAAAACACATGTGGCCAACGCTGGCTCTTGGCCTTTACGCGAGCGGCTATGAAGCTTCCGGTTTGATCGATTCTCCCTTCACGTTCACAGGTAGCGCCACTTTATTTCCTCTTTCACAAATACCCGCGTAATTTAAATCTGTACTTGTACCGCATCTTAGATTCGATTTCTGTACTTTGTTTCAGAAATATTGCTTCCACCGACTCTAATAAAGGTGTGTAACGAACTAAATTAGCGCCTTTTAATGAAAGAATTCGGTAAATCGTTAAATTAAAACAATTAACAGAGCACAAGTATGAATACCGAATATACCTTCTCCTCAAATGTAACACGTTAAAAAGTCAAACAATTATCTAATTATTGCACAATTTTTATTGTATAATTTTTTACAGACTATATTACAATTTATTTGCACTTCATAGACTATTCATAATGTATTGTTTTTAATAACATTACATAACTCTGTACATATCACATTTATAAAGAATCGTATTTGTTTACATTGCAAATTATTTTTCTTTGCTTTAAGTTTTAAAAGATTGTCCAAATTACTGCTACCAGATGTTGTAAAGTTTCTAAAAAAGGAAACCCTGTACAAATTTCGGTAATACCGTGAGTATTCAAAATTACATTATTAAAAATATGGTCTCGTATAAATTGCTTTACATTATTTAACAATAATTTCAATTTTTCCATAAAATTACACGTATATCAACTGATGTGTGATGGATATTTCTTCATACATCGTTCAAATGCTTCTACTATAGTGGATCTGAAAATAATCGTTAAGTTGAATAAAATCTAACTATGTAATTATAAATACAATAGTATTTACTGAAGAATATAAATCAAAATTAGCATGATTTACAGACCTAAACACTTTCTGGTGAAGAAGATACGCAGATACATGTCCCGCATCGATGTATCGAATTTCAGCACCTGGCCAGATTTTCTCCAAGCTCATACAACCGTCGCGTGGCACGTACGCATCATCCTTCGCGCACACAGCAATAATGAGTTCAGTATCAACAGGTACTTCGAAATTTTTTAAATGCGTACATTCATCCATTATACCACACATGAATTGCAGTGCCTCTCGTTCACGCCACTTGTAGTCCGAAAATAATGGATGCCTTGGAACTGGTAATAAACAAACGCCTATTGCCAAAGTAATACTAAGAATAGTCATGCTCGTAATAAACCATGCTTTCAACTTACTCGTGTTCAACTGAACGTATAAACAAAAACGAAAGACTAAATTTACTTATTAGTAACAACTCGTCAATTCAAAATTAACGTACACGTTTACATAATGTTTGCATCACAATTAAATTCAGGATATTTAGGTTTCATTTAAGCATCTAACTATGCCTACCTTTGAGCGCATTTGAATCTTTTAACTTAAATCTGTTAGAAAGGAGATTTAGGGGAAACATCTTAGCTGCTGCCTTCTCTTCCACGTATTGTTTTTTCAAATTATTGTCTTCGGTTCGAGAATCAGAAGGGTTATGTAATTTATTATCGATCACAGTTTGTGTAGCAGTCAAGGAGTCCTTCTTCAATTCATTAACCCTGTTCATACTTGCTGGAAAATGTTGAGCAAAATGCTGACCAGCTAGGAATGCATCCTACAATTGAAGTGGTAGAAATGTTTGTCTTGTATTGATTATATAAGACTTATAGTTTGTATGATGAAGGTTTACTTACCTCTTCCCCAATGATTCTTACCATCTTGGCAAGATCATTTTGATATAGTTCATTTGCAAAATATTGGTTTTCTAAAAGTGTCCAGTTAATAGAGGCACTCATCACTCCTTGAGTAAATACTGGTGATGCTGTTGACCAAGAAAGGCAAGGAACTAGTGGTATTGGTTTTGGCCAATTTGTTGCTGCCAAGGAAGCCATCTACACAAATATTCAAACATCAATATACTAATAGAATAATACACGGATTTTAATATTAAAATAAAATACAAACATGACCACCCATTGATAATCCTGTTATCCCCAATGGCCCAAAACCTTGTTGTTCACACCAATTTAATAAAACAATTGATTCCATTATCAAGCATCCTCCCATGATGAAGATGTCACATACATTGTGTAAACTAGAACGTCTAAAATGCACAGGTATATCAACATGACTATAAAATTATCTGAGAGTTTTATATATGTTCCCTGCTACAAACCTTCTGAATACAAGTTCTTACATTTGATTCCGTGGTTTTCGTAATCCATAAAATGGATTTTCCAATAACAAAGACGCAATTCCAGCTTCTTTGAGTAGTGGTTTAGCAATCAAATTCCTTCTCCGCCAAAAAAACTGGCGAATAAAAATTCACTTCAATTTTAGAATGACTGGCAATTCAATCCAACAAGCACTAGAATCGATACAACTTACATGGTCTCCTGTACCAGCCAAATGTAAGCAAACAGGTTTCCTTTTATGGGAGTACCATTTACGTGGTAGAATCAACTGAAAATGTGCTGTGACCGTCTCATTTGGCATTATTCCAGGAAGATGTTTATGAAAAGGACTTTCAAAACAACCTTCTACTATATGACAGTCAGACCATTCTTCATCCTATATATACATATGTACACACACACACACACACACACACACAGATTAAAAACAGATATGAATAAATATATAGTATTTATTTCACACTAATATTAAAAGAGAGTTACCTTAGTTATATTGATTGGATAATTAGTAGGTATAAGACTGTAACATGTTTTTCTATTAGCAATAACTTTTCTAAATTCAAAGATCCTAAAATCAAATTGCTTATTAGCATTCCACAGAGAACAAATTTTAAAAGGATTGTTGTATTATTAATGTTATCATTTTAAAACTACTGCTTCATCAAAGATCGTTTTTATTAAGAGCAGGTTTCAAGATGTAACATTTTATTACAAAACAGTGCAAATAAATCCAACGTTTTTTAAAATTTTTTCATGTCATTCATTGGCTCGAACGAAAATTCAAATAAAATCATGTTAGCGTTACTTATGCAAGCGATTTAATTTCACGTCATGATCTAATGAAGAACATTCTCGAAACGCGAACCACATCTCGAATTTCTTTCAAAGAAAAAGAACATTGATGCCTTACCTCTTTAAATTCTGAGGGCTACCCCAGCCTTTGGTAAAGAATTTAGTTAGGAGGATGCTTCTGTAAACTGCGTCTAAACGGCTAGGTGGCATTACGTGAATGAATAAATAAAATCTTATTTGTTGATCCAGGTTTCCACGGGATTATAAAAATATTATTCGTTTCAGATACTTGTGTTCACGACTCAAAAGAATTCGTGGGTTTCTGACTTGAACACTCATATCGTATTTTTAAAACGATAGCAATGATGTGGACAATGCAGGACATTGTTCGGGTTTGTGAACTGGTTACAGAGCTAGGCTGTCGAAGACCAGTTATCGAATATCTCAGTCAGGCGATTGGCGCAATCAGATCAGGTGATGTTTTGCGCGTATATCGCACATAAAGTTCCGTCTCTTGCATTTTTGGTTCTGTACACATGCAATTACAATTTTGATGAACTAGTTCTTTAAATATGAACGGTTCACGAAAGGATGTTGCGAGCGAACACGAGCGAGAAGTGTGCAGTACGAACGGTACGAACTTTCAAAATTAATACTTGTACACACTACTTCAGACACGATGTACCGCTGATCACAAAATTTTGTAGACTTTCTTGATTTTCAATTACAATTTTAGTACGATTGTAACGACTTTTTTTAGTGTTGTTACTGCGATTCATTGTGAATGGGTTGCAAATAGCATTTAATTGACACTTTTTTTAATCATTGTATTGTACATTGTATGTATGTATGGATTTATTATTAGAAATAACATGAAAATAATCGGTGCTGCCATCTACGAAAAAATTGCAAAGATACTATTAGCTAATTAGTACCACAGACGAGATATAAGAATAGACCTAACATCTTATGGGACTTGGTGTACCACGAAAATTACGCTGATTCGAATAGACGTATTGTACCGTAGCGCATCGTATTATATTTCCAATTTTTAGCTTCATTTCATCGAATTGTCTTAAATATAACTGTATAAATATTGTACAATCCTATATTAATTATAGTTGTCTGGTTCAACAGGTTACTGATGGCGGCAAAACCGCGGGGTCAAAGAACCCCCGCAGAAGGCCTGCACGTTTGTGGCGCCCCCACCATTACATTCGAAGTTTAAAGAACTTAGATTAGTACTCTCTACCAGCTCGGAACCAGTAATTACAAGAATATTGTTAAATTCACAACTGTTTGCTACGATTGACAGTGTATCCCGTCATGTATACCCCGTTTAGTTCCGTTTGTACAACTCTTACAACGTTACAGTGACAGCTTTTATCTTGACCAAGCATTCGATTTGTAGCTTAAAGCACGTAGATTAATGCCCTGTCATTGATAATAACAATAAACGACCAGAACACTGTTAAAATCGCATTTAATCACGGAATAACACTATATTTTTTTTACCAGTGGCGCCATCAGTGGCAGTTCTCTCAAACTGCTAGCTAAATCATACCGACAGGTGAGTGAAAATTCCTAATGCTCGAAAAAAGCGAATATCTCAGTAATTCAGAGTTCAAAATGAACGTCATTAGTCTCAAATTGTTCCTGAGGGCTTAATGAATCGACTCGATACTGCAGAACCCACTAATTATTAAAATTACTTATGCCTGTATTAACATTGACCCTTATGGAGCGACAAACCTGTTTGCACGGATTTCTATCCCAATCACACAGCTAAACGGGCATCATGCTTCTTCGTCTTGCATTAAATACGACGTTTAAAGAACGTAGATGAATATTCTCCAACGGCTGGAAACCAGTAATTACAAGAACTTTGTTAAACTTACATTTGTTTGCAACGGTTGACACTGTATATCGTCATGTGTACCCCGGTTAGCTTTCTTTCGACATCTCTTCCAACGGTATGCTGACAGCATTCGTCTTGACCAAGCACTCGACTTGTAGCTGAAAGAACGTAGATTAATCCCCTATCATTGAAAATAACAATAAACGACCGGAACACTGTTAAAATCGCATTTAATAGCGGAATACCACTATTTTTTTGACTGGTGGTGCCATCCGTGGCGAATCGCTGAAACTGCTAGCTAATTATATGGCTAGCAGTTTCAGCGATTCGCCACGGGTGGCGCCACCGATCAGAAAAATAGTGGTATTCCGCGATTAAATGAGATTTTAACAGTGTTCCGGTCGTTTATTGTTATTTTCAATGATAGGCGGTTAATCTACGTTCTTTAAGCTTCAAACTGAATGCTTGATCAAGACGTAACTTGTCCATAGAACGTTGGAAGAGCTATTTAAACTGAACTAAACGGGTTATGCATCGCGAGATAGAGTGTCAACCGTTGCAAACAAATGCAATTTTAACAAAGTTCTTGTAATTACTGGTTTCCAGCCGTTGGAGAGTATTAATCCACGTTCTCGTATTTACTGCAAGACGAAGAAGCATGATGCCCGTTTAGCTGTGTAAATGGGATAGAAATCCGTGCAAACAGGGTTGCCGCTCCATAAGGGTCAATGTTAATACAGACATAAATAATTTTAATAATTAGTGGGTTCTGCTGTATCGAGTCGATTCATTAAGCCCTCAGGAACAATTTCAGTCTAATGACGTTCATTTTGAACGCTGAATTACTGAGATATTCGCGTTTTTCGTGCATTAGGAATTTTCACTCACCTGTCGGTATGATTTGGCTAGCAGTTTGAGAGAATTGCCACTGGTGGCGCCACCGGTAAAAAAAAAATAGTGTTATTCCGTTATTAAATGTGATTTTAACAGTGTTCTGGTTGTTTATTGTTATTGTCAATGACAGAGAATTGGTCTACGTTCTTTCAGCTTCAAACTGAATGCTTGGTCAAGATGAAAGGTGTCGGCATAACGTTGGAAGAGTTGTCAAAATGTTAACCAGACGAGAAGCTTACAACAGTAATGAAGTGACGCTACAGCCGTAGTTGAATCCCCCACCAACAGCCCCATTAGTAAGAGAGGAAAGTAACTCCATTTATTGTTTTCTCCTTCTCGGCCGACTTCATCCCTACCATAAGACCGCCCAGTCTATTATTTATAAATTTATAATTTATATTATGCATACGTATAACAAGCAAGCACAGCAGGTTGCATATTTGTAAAAGCAATATTGGTTCACATACCTGGTTAATAGATGGCTTCTCGATCTTTTAAATTGAATTCAATATTTTGTCATCCAAGTTATTATTAGCGATTGAATAAAATAAATTAAAATAGCAACGTGGAAATGAATCCATGAATATGTTACTACGAGTATACAGTCTATTACGCATCTATGCATCGTTGACTCGGTAGCTGTCGAGACAACGATGTTTATGCGTCAGTTTCTCTACATACATACATATATACATACATACATACATACATACATACATACATACATACATACATACATACATACATACATACGTACGTACATACATACATATATACATATATTTTGGAATTTCTTTCTTCGAGAAATGTCAGTCTGCTTCTTTCGACGTGCAATCTCCTACACGCTTAAATTAACAAATAAATGAAACTCTTGAAAACTCGGCTGAAAATAAGAAAACATGCCGACTTCCGACGTGTATCGTGTATACATTACAAACAATTGAATAATGTAATGGTTGTAACGTAAGTTAATCTGATTTATGGGTTTCATAGTTTTATCCCCATTTAAACTCTACGACAGCAAATGTTGAGGATGACTGATGACCAAGATCTTTCGTCAAACTTGTTCCTTGTTCACTTTCGATCAAATCTTTTCCATATGACAAAGTACATGCGTTAACGATCGAAAAGTTGTCCGCATTTTGTATTGTCAAGAGATAAGGAATCGACGAAACGATCGATTGGTACGTGTGCTATTGCAAACGGAAGCTAGCAAACAAGATTCAATATGCCAGCGCGCAGTATGCGAAGGATCATCAATTATTCGATGGTACAGGCAATTGGCGCGGGGGGCTTTTAATTATAAATTAAAACGACCCGACAATTCTCGACATGAAAATGTTAATTCATACGATCGTTCACGGTGGCGTGAGCCAGGCAAAGGGGGGTTGCCTTCGACGCCACGTTTTCGATTCGCTGGTATTACACTCCACCGAGAAATCATTTCGTCCTGGATGTTCGACAGATGGAATACTTGTATGCAATTATATCTTGTTATCGTCGACGATCCCATGATTGCTTCTCCTTATCGATCGAGAAGGAACCGGTGCGAGGAGCGAGCGCTCACGCGTTCGTGTAACTTTTACAACGATTGTATTAACTATGTAGGTAGACGACTTCTGTTTAACATTCTACCTGTGTATTCCCAGACCTACGGTGAATAATTTCAGTCGTAGTTTCGATATTGAAATAATTTTGTGACTGTCATTCTTGTAAATTACTCGCATCACCGTGCGAGTAGCAATTACGTGTCACCTTCATCTATCAAAATTCGACACACGTCATCTTGAGTGAAACTTTTTGGGATTTTCCGCCTGGATCGCCGCAATTTTAACAACAATAATTACAGCAACAGATGTCAGGATACTTGATTACGAGAGAAGCGTGTACTATATACATATGTATACATACGTATCGCGAATCGACATATCGAAACGTGGTCGGTCCCTGTGGTACACTTTAGCCGACGTTGTCTAGAGACAAGGATGAAGCAACGCGAGAACAGACCGGATAATGGTTGCTTGATATAATACGATATAATGGGACCATATAATACGGTGGGTGTAGGCGAGGCGTTATTTATGTATGGGAAACGCTCGGTCTACAGGGATCGTGGAATCAACAGCTGGACTAAATACAGATCTTTCGCAACCATCGTTTCACCGTCTTTCTCCTCGATAATATTCGATTTCCACCGAACGATTAATTATCGTTCGGTTCTGATTTCTGTGTATTTCGCCAACCTCGAATCCGACCTTTTTTACTGAAGGCAACCGCGCTTAATTTCTCTCTGTCGCTCTGTCTTTCGTATCGTTAACAATTCTATTATTTCTCGTGTGTCGATTTTTTTTTTAGCTTTCTAGTTCATATCCATCCAAAGAAAATTATCTGTAGGTATTGATTTTACTATTCCACTCGAAATTCCAATTTCAAATCACTGTCAGACACTACTCGTTTTCTGATAAGCAATACATACGTCGGAACCATAAAAGCCTCAAGTACAGAAAATCCTTGTTGATAATTTTTTTGTCGTGAATATTTCATAAATTAATGGCTGTATGCGACTGAAAGAAATATCATTGGCTTCGGAGTGCCAAGCTCTATCACTGTGCTGGAACCTCTCGTTGTCATTGCCGTGGAGCGTTCGAACACTCATAGAGGATTTACCGTATTTACATATTCCAGACTAGTCTCTCGGCACAAGTTCTTGTGTTCACTCGGGTTTATCACGAAATCGATTATGGTAAGTATTAAAGACAACTAAGTTGACAACTAAGTAATGGACTTTCAATCATCCAACGGAACATCACGCGAAAGGAGAGCGTACTTGAGTGGAGAAATTGGGGTGGGTCGACTACAGTTGTTGCAAACTTTCTATTCGCAGGAGTATTTGTAAATTCGTGAACGGACCTGGACACGCCTTGTCTTTTGTTTGGTACCTCGATGGTCCATGATCAACGAGATTCGGCGAATTGTTCGCCGATGATCGTTTGCGAGGGCAACAAATCGTCGCGAGTGCCTGCTGTCGCCCGAGCAGATTGCAAGCACCTGTCCCACGGAAAATATCCACCGGTGGATAGTGTGTGGATACACAGCGACGAAGCTGGCACGGCAGAAGGTTTGTCAGCTGCCACCGCAGCTGAGGTAACCGATCGCCTTCCATCGAACGAGATGACGCCTATATGTATGTATAGATCGACCAAAATTCCTCCATTCGATCCATCTCGTGGACCGTGCGCGGTGTCGATCTCGAATTTCACGAACGAACGAACGAACGAACGAACGAACGAACGAACGAACGAACGGCTGCTTTCGCGATCCAGAGATTTTTCAATCTGCTGATAGTCGTTCGCATATTTTCTATGGATAATGTTTCATCGTTAGCCCGTCGATCGAGCGTGCCTCTACCTTTCTAGCTCCGGCTATTAATGCGTCGAAGCAATCATCAGGACAGTTCATCTGCGACACGAGGACATCTTCGATAGGAATTTCGTTTATATCATACATATAGTATGTTCGACGTACTAGATATTTTTCAAGAAAAATTCTGTACCGAGAATGTAGGCGTAACTGAAAACAATTGTACTATGGGATGCAATGAGAGCCTCTTTGATATAAGTCTGTTTCGATGACAATATCCTGAAACCTTACGAAGTTAAGTAGGTATATTTTATACGTAGTGAAGACGTAAAAAACTGTGTAGAATATTTAAAAATTTCATATTTCCCCTTTGTAGTTTTATTGTTACAATTGGAATTCTGTAATAAATTAATCAGTAAAGTAAATAAATAAATGGTATGGAATTTTTTTGGCACTTAGAGTGTTTTCTACAAGCACTCTTCAATTGCTCTGAGATTTTTACTTCTGCCCGCGAATTGAATCGATGCTTGTTGATATTCGTGTTGTACGTTGGTATGTCATCGACTAGAAATATTAAAGGTGGCACGGTGATTAAGTGTAACGATGAATGTTAACGACTGGTAGATGGTGTTGGACAAAATGTTGGTTCCTCGGTGGGCGTTTACGGTCACGTGTATGTATGCATTGTTGCGCACGCGATGCAAACTTGCGGCGCGTGGCGACTGGCCGGACTGGCTTCGTGTTTCCGAAACACCTTCCAAAAAATCTAGGCTTTTTTGCAATGTCCTGAAGCGTGTGCAGGTTTGGTCTCGAGTTTCTCGCTCGATCGTTCGGAAAATTTTCCAGTACACCTGGCACAACGTGTTTCGCTTCTATAATAGAGGCACTCTTGCTTCGTAAATCATAAAGCTTAAGTGACTATAATAATGTTATATAGTATATCCTTTAAATGCAAAAATATATTTAATCTTACAATAAATAAATTATCTATAAAGTTCTATTATAGTATTAGAAAAATGTTTGTTTGCTTAAAACAAAACTTCGTCGACTTGTTTGTTACTTTCAGGTATGGACCTGAAAAAAGCTCTGACTGCAAGTCGGCGCAAAAACCGTGATATTAAAAAGTGAATCGAGTCATCTTACGGGTCATCGACCGTCGCAAAAATCGTAAGGGGTGTATTTGTATAAGTACAACAGGACGCGATTCCTTTTGAATCCGTTGCAAAAGATTATTCTACGGCTGGAGTGCGTGCGGTCGGCCGCGGTAATGGGGTGGGGGAGAGCCACGTGATCGAGCGCGTGTTCCAACAATAACAGCTGCACTGTTGCTTGCCTTGTTCCTCAATTCACGTTCAGCCTCCTCCGAAGCAGGATCTCTGCTCGGTGAATCCTTTAAAAATCGTTTTCGGCACGAACGAAAAGTTTACGAACCCGATCGAAGTCACTTTTCACTAGTCGTCGATTCTTTCGCATATTCGATTGATATTTCGTGGAAATCGATTCATCCAATCCCACATAGATCCGATCCACCGACAATCGTGTGAGATCGTGTCATTCGGTGATCGACGAAGTCGCGTGAACCGGTGAAAATTGGATTTTAAACGGAGTTTCCTCTCCCACCGTGGTCCCGAACGGGAACACGAGAGTTTTATTTATTCGGTGATTGAAGTGCAACGTCGACGGAATCGCGTGGAATGCTGTAAGCGAGGAACCACCCCGGTACGTTCGCAGTTACTTTTTTTTTCGACAAAAAAAAGCAACGAAGACAAGAAAACGGAAGGAAGGTGTCGCGAAGATGCTTCCTGTTCGGGGATCAATCTTCGTCGTCCTCGGCGCCTCCTGTTTGCTGGCTGTTCTCATCGAGGTAACAGAGTTTCAAGTTTAACGCGCCGTTTTCTTTCGGATTAATTCATTCTTCCGCCTGCATCTTTCGATTGTCAGCGTATTTCAGCCATTAACGATCAAACTCGCGATAATTGTTGTATACTCGAATAGATTTATTTATTTATTTATTTATAAAACTCTTTAGTATACGATGCAGTTAGAATTAGCCAATTGTAGGTAAGAATGTGTTGTACATATTATATTCTATGCCAATCTATGCCTAAAAGAGGCTTGAGAACTAAAACAAAACAGCCCAGCGATAGATGACGATTGTACGTATGTAAACGCCAAAGACGTTTGTGTCTTTGAAAGACACTTTTTGAATCGTGTGCTCTACAGTTGTGTCACGTTTGTATCGAAACGCCCGCGGTATATAGGTCCGAGGAAATAAAAGCTTAGTGCAGTAGAAGCATATAAATCCCTATCGAGCGTATTCGTCGTCCCTCGACACTGGATCAGGGTTTAATTCTGATTTATCCGTAATGACTGCGACGTATCCGATTCACTTGGATCGAACCTCGAATGTCTCTCTCGGTTTTCATGTTCCAGGGATCTGTTTGTTTCGTCGACAAAGTTTAACGATTCGTATAAAGGTGCAGAAATTTTTCGCAACGAAAATACTCGTGCTGATACGTTTGTTTCACCAACAAAGTTTAATGATTCGTAGAAAAACGTAGAAATTCCTTGCAAACGAAATTACTCGCGTTGAAACGAGATAATCATAAACAGTGCAATGAAATCGTCGCGACGTTATTACAGGAAGTCGTGTCGAACCGTTTCGTTGTCTTCATTGAAAGCTTTATTTCGCCGTTGCCGCCGTTGGCTCGTGGTGGCATCGCGTAAGTATATTTACGCGCAACGGGACACAATTTATGATCGAGGCAGGATGGATGAATTGCGTAAGGAAACGCGTTGCGATCTTGAACGCCGCGGAGGAAACGATAATTCTTAACAATTACACCGGTTGGTAAATATTTAGATATGGGATCGTTAATTTCTAGGCAGAACATCGTTGCGATTGACCCCCCTCGAATCTTTTATGATCCAGAGACGGGGAAATTTTGAAAAGTCCCCTGAGTTCCTAAAGTTCTTCATGATCCACATCGTTTATTAATCGACCGTCTCATGAGATTGCCCCTTTAGAGATTCTTAAAGCAGTGGAAAATGTCCTGGACTTTCGTTGAAAGTTGAAGTCCTGTCGTTAGACTGCAAAACGAGGGGACCAAAGCGTGCACACGTACACTACCGGTCGAAATTGTTCTGTTAGGATATAATAAAAGTTATGTAATCAGTGTACATATACAAATGATTTCCAATCACTTCTGGTACATTACTTTGACCAAATCTGTAAAATAATATTTTGCTATTTCTCTAATTCTCGTATTGTATATCATCTCGTTTCAGAGTTGAAGAAAAATTGTGCTTGTGAAACACTGTGCTGTTTTCGCTTTTCATTTATATTTTTCCCTAAAACATCGCGAGTATTGTTTATATTATACATACAGAGACCCCGTCAGAATTACGAAAGCATACGAATCGTCGACCATGACTGTGGATATTTGACCCAGAAAAAAGCACGAAACAAACAAGTGGTACTGAAAAAAAAAAAAAAAAACGAGTGAAGCGCGTTAAGCGACCCGAGTAAGTCCGGGTAAGCCAATTCCGGGCGGATCGCCGCGAGCTTTCGTCCGATTTCCAGCCGGTTAATTATCCTGGCGGCAAGAACGATCGGGGATAGATAAAATCGGGTTCGCATGCTGGCCCGGTAACAACGATCGGAAGGAGGAACGGGGGACCGACAAGAGAGAAAAAACCGGGATCGAGGGGAGGGGTCTTTTATTTCGCATCCTCGTGTACGCGATGCATGCATATATGCATTAGGATCCAGGCTGAAAGGTCGACGAACACTGGAGATAACTGTACGCGCGCGTTGCGTCGAGGGTCCGAGGGAGAACCAGAGAGAGAGAGAGAGAGAGAGAGAGAGAGAGAGAGAGAGAGAGAGAGGGTTGTCGAAATTAACAGTGAAGCCCGCGTGGAAAAACAGAGGCAGAAAGATGAAAGAACAGTGGAAACCCCGAGGGCGGCGAACGGACGATATGACAGGGAGGAGAACGCGGACCTACGAAACCACCGTGGAGAGGCAGAGGATTGTACAAAAGGAACGACGCGGAAACGGAATAGAACATTAACCGGAAAGGAGAGTGAAAGATCAAAAGATGGGGTTGGAACGAGTGGCCGAGGAATGAGATACTCGTGCAAATAGGAATACAAAGGCTAAGGGACGCGGAAGATATGGGGGGCTGTTCGAGCTTCACTCGCATTTTTTTTTATTTCGCGGCTTTGGCTTTTTAACGAGACGGGGCACGAGGGAGAGATATTTATCTGTCACAATTGCTTCTCGAACGTACACTACCGCTCGTACGTATTAGGACACATGGTCTGCAGTAATCTGCACGAAGAAAATACGATGTTTCGTAAAAACTATACATTTTAGACCAGGTGTATTACTTTGTATATTATCGAGCTTTAATGTCTCCTAAATCATATTTCTTTAAGACTTTCAGCAATATCATAATGCCTAGTTCAAATGAAGCAGAATTGTCACTTCTGAATTGTCTGGTTTTACTATGGTAATAATAAGGCGCACATAATAGTATTGACCTTTATCGAAACCATTTGTCTTGTTGCATTTTCCAAGTTAAGCTATGCTATAAATGAATAAGCATCCGTGGTCTACTTATAACGTTTACTGTACATTCGATTACTCTCCTAATAGTACTTATTCTGAAGAAATTGCGTATCCAACTTTTCAGTATTCCTCGTGTATTCTCGTTTCGTTCCGATCGGTGTATTGTTTATTCAAATGCGAAGCCACGAAAGCAGGAGCCGGTGTAACGTAACAAAAATTGTTAAAGCGGAAAAAAGTTTTTCGCCCGTATGAAAATGACACTAAACGCACGAGAATACGGGGGGGTCTGAAGAAGAAACGAGCACGGAATACGAAATTAGAACGACGTCGGAAGAAAAACAGCGGTGGTGGAAAATCGAGACTGAAAAAATGGGTTGTGAGAACAAAGAAAACAGCCGGACTGATGCGGGATTGTCGCAGGAAAGAGGAGCGGAGGAAGCTGGAAACGTAGAGTGGGAAGAAGGATCGGAGTCGATGAAAAGTGGAGGAACGTGGTGATGGGGGGATAGAGAAGTCGTGGGAGCTGACAAAAGGCGGCTAGCTGTACCTGAGAAAGCTCGTTTCCTCCGCGCTGCCAGCTATTCCCGCGCGTGCTAACAGAGTGCGGAACACTGTCACTGTCCACTTGCACGCGAGCCCAAGGGTGGGGTCGAATGCCGGCGATCGGACATCGCAGAGAGACAGGGAGAGAGAGGGAAAGCGTTTTAAACTGTCACCGTAGGAAAACTTATCTCTTGCCGAATTAATTCTTACGCGGGAAGCCGGTGACATAAACTGCCCCAACATTTGAAACTAGTTCGGACGCTGTCACTTTATTCTTCGAACGTGCCACCACAAGATGCATATTCACCGAGGTAGTGTTTTCAGATATTTCGTAGCTGAAAGAATACTTTTGAAAAGAACCAAAACATGTTTCTGAGGAAGAAAAAACTATTAAATGGACAGGATTCCAGGACTTTCTGCGAGTCAGACGCGTTTGAACAACTTGAATCGGTCAGAGAAGCTTAAGAATTCGATGAAATTCAGACAAGAGTCAGGCGTATCTCCGATTGGATAAATAAACATGGGCGCGCAGGCTGAATGAGAAAAGAGAGTTTGGCGGGCGCGAATTTCTGCATTCCTGAACGACCCACTCCGCCCGGCATCGGGCGTAAATGGGTCGCCTTTCACGAGTACTTACGTATCTCGAACGAATTTCGCGCGAGCTTCTGCAGACCTATCGAATATTTAACGATATCAGTACTTGTATGTGTGTGTTCGCGGGAAACGTGTTTCTAACGGGGGCCGCGATATGCGTGCAAGATCGATTAGTCGATTATCCAGGAAAATCGGGGAATTTAAAAGGTGATATGAATGGTGGCGCTCGAGTGGGCGTGGGAGATGAAAGCGTGTCGATTAACAGACATAGCGAGGTTTAATACTAGAATTACCGACGATAAACTTATAACTTATGCAAATTCACAATTTCAGATAGTACTGTGTAAAAATTAAAATAGAGCAGAATTTACAATTCTGTACTGGAGGCTTTACTCTATGTTAATACGCCCACATAAATAGTGTTAAGTTCTATTAAAACTTTTATTTTATTGCATTTTCCAGGTTAAAAGATGTTACGAATATCCAGTTATGAATATTTCTATCGGTTCGATAAACACGAGAATCTTTTGAAACTTTATAAATTAACTAATTTCTTCATTTTGATACCGCAATCATTAAAGTTGTTAAAAATCTGCGAAAATGCATTGTTATAACATTTACAATTGTCGTTACGAAAGTGTGCTAACCCAGTGATTCCCCGACTGCTTTGGTTGTTCCAGTGTTAAAGAATCATAGAAATAGAAAAAAGAAAAAAACGTTAATGTACATGTTGGAATTTCTGCGGTTAACACGGAATGAATCCTGAATGAATGTTCCCTTCCGACTGAAGTAGTAAAGCGCCTCTCGTTTTAACCCCGGGGAACTTCACCGGAGAATCTACGGAGAATTCCACGGTTTTCCTTAACGCTCGCAACAATATTAACGAATCGAGCGACCCGTGGAACATCCAGTTTCCAGGGCAATTTCAATTCCCCTCGCAACAGGAAGCTTTTGTCTCTCGCGAAAGTAAAATGAAGCGTTCCCCGTTCTCGGAAGATGTTACGAGGGGCCGGAAGCCGGATATCCCCGAAGAAGAGGCGCAATACCGAGACTACGCGTACGTAGCTGGGGCCCGTAGGCTGGCTCGGCTGCGTAGGTCGTGCCGGGGTCGACGGGGATCGCGAAAACCGTCGAGACTGGCGGAACTCCCGACT